AAAAGAACCACCTTGGGTTCTGCAGGCAGATGTATATGAAGCTATAGGATTTAAGACACACTTTTCAAAAGAGTCCATTAATTTTGGATGCTTGACTTGGCAAGAGCCCAGAGCATGCAGCACCCAAAACTGAGTGGATGCTTCTGAAAAAGGTTTGCTAGCATCCTGAAACTATTCACCAAGAACTGACATTGAGCCATAGCATGTGCTCCAGGAAACTCTTTGCCCCTGAGAGATGTACCATTTGGGACACAAGGTGTTGGGACAGTACCTCTGCTGTTATGACACTAAGCACTCCTAACAGTGGTTATAGATGGAGTCAGAGCCCTGACTCTCTCTTTGTTCTGCTTGATGGATTTAACTCCTAAGTACTCTGATCAATCTCTTTTTGCTTATAGCACATAAGAATTAGTTTACTGCATTAGGCTACTGTTCCAACAACTCCCAGATCCTGTTTTTAGGAGTGGCTACTATCAGGTAGCAGGATTAACATCTAATGACTATGAGTTTCTGAGGTCAATTAGGTTAGGTAAAGCATTTCCTTTTATGACACTTGACCACACACCCTCTTAATCTACACTTAAATCACATGTAGAGTACAGACATAGCATTGGTATTTAACAACATTGCTTCAGTGAAGAGCACATGCCTGAACCCCCAGGCTGGAGAGCGTGCTGTGTGTGTGTGTGCACACACACCCCTACCTCCTTGCTCTACAGTGCTATTTTTAGTAGTGTAACATCCTCCTACTTAAGCCTTCCCCTGCCCCAGTGAAAGGCTCCAGCTGCTCCCCCCTCTTGAAGCCTGTTGCCATGGCATACAGCTAGCCCCTGCAGTGACAAGTGAGAACACAGCCAGTACTCCACACCCCACCACTGTAAACGGAGCTTAAGAATGGGCGATTTTCTGGGAAGGAAATCTTACCCATCAGTAACACTACAGCTATGCCATCTAGTGGGCATTGCTGGACAGATGCAACTTAGTGAGAAGTTTATTCCACATCTGTTATGTGCCCCTGAAGAATAGGAGGCTGCTACTGAGGGACAAGGTAGGTCCAGATATGCAGCATGTACCTCATTTGCCATGGAAGTTCACTCCTTTATGGTCAGTTGTCATCACTTTAGAATTTTGGTTTGTTCCCTGAGAGGTCCACAATGATGTCTGTGCTAAGCAAGAGAACACAGTGCAAAAAGGAGAGGTAACCTCCACCCCTTTGAAATCCTCAGGCCTTGCTCTCTAAGGCAATAGATGCTATGTAAGTACTAATTCTTCCGGCAGAGTGCTCCATTAACAAGTGCTGTCAAAACAGTCGTCATCTTCTCACCATTCACAAAGTCACAGCTTTTCATCTGCTCTTTCTCCTAGGAACTGATGGGGTGGTGGAGAGCCCTCACAGCTTGTAGCCACTGCTGCTCGATTACATTAGGGTAATTTCCTTTTGGGGCATAGAGTGGAGGTACCACATAACTCCATGCAGCCTGTGTACCAGACTTTCTTTTCAGGCATCATCCTCTCATAACTTCTTAAAGGACAGGTCCTTTCCACCTCCAGGTAGGAAGCCCTACAGCAAGACAGCAGGAAAGAGTGTTCTTGCTACTTCCTTGTCACCACTAAAGAAAGCACGAACATTTAGAACTGAACACATACATCAACAAGTTCAAATTCCATAGGGTGACTATTCTCATATATTATCTGTATTAAAACAAATTGACTGACAGTCACAGCTGATCAGTGAATAAAGAATGTTGCTATAGCCAGGACCACATGCACTCTGGTGGTGTTTCTCTTGCTATACCGCTATGTTCTAGCATCTAAGCCTTAATTGTGAAGCAGGTTTTAAATGAAAGCTATCTTCATAACAAGGAAGGGAAACAAGTAGAAGCTTGTTAAAACAGAAGCTTTAAAAATCCTTTATTTTTTGTCAATTTAGTAAATTAATACCAATAAATGCATCTAGAAAATCATAGATAACATTCTGCTGCATGAATCACAACTTGTTAATGAAAATTTAAGGAAACTTGTTACAAACCCTCAAAATAATTTCACTATTTTATCTTATTTACAAAGCAAAAAGCAATGTCCAGAGCAATATGGTTGGTACCTGTTGTGCTGGAGGAGTAGAATACAACAGGAGAGTTGTGGCTGTCAAGAATTCATCATGGGAAGGTTTCCTGTAACATGGGCTATAAAACACCTCAGCAGGTGGATGCCAGAATACTCTATGGAACTGTAGAAACAAAGATTTACATGTTCAGGTCCTTGCTTCCTTTAAATGCAGGTGCCTAAGGGTACGTCTACACTTTCCGGAGGGTCCGGCGGCAGGCAATCGATGTTCTGGGATCGATCCCGGAAGTGCTTGCCATCGACGCCGGTACTCCAGCTCGGTGAGAGGAGTACGCGGCATCAACGGGGGAGCCTCCCTGCCGCGTCTGGACCCGCGGTAAGTTCGGACTAAGGTACTTCGAATTCAGCTACGTTATTAACGTAGCTGAATTTGCGTACCTTAGTCCGAAGTGGGGCGTTAGTGGGGACCAGGCCTTATTCTGCAAAGCTGCCACCGTCCCTTGGAGTAACGGGTAACTTCAAAGTCAGCCAATT